TAATAATAATAATAATACAATTACAAAGTTCCATAGCGACCAGTTACCCCATGCCCAATAAGGGTGGTGTTTAAAAAGAATTTCATGTTTCTAAATGCAAAATCTTTCTTCCCCCACCCTTCCAGAATTTACTTGGCCTACTAAACACTCACAGGGTCTCCTCTTTGCTGGAACAGGGAGTGGCGGAGGTGGAAAGTTTGAGTTACCATTACGTTATTCACGATGTATGTTTATTAACCTACCAGATGCCCCCATCCTCGAAAAAAAAAACCCTTAAAAAACCCCAACTCTCGAGCGCCAAGGAAACTATGATAAAACAAACTTACGAAAACGGTGTCACCAATAATCTGCCTATTTACAGCATGAAATCAATATTTCAAGCTTGAAACACAATGCAAATATTTGTCTAGTTACTTTTTAAATAGAACTTTTATTTTTCTGTCACTCTATTGTAGAGGTGTATACATTAATTTTATAGCTGTTCTTGCACGTTCACATGACCTTGTGCAGTTGTGAGCGCCGTAAAAGACTTACCCAAAAAAAAAGGCTGTTCTTGAATGAATGACAGCTAAACAAAATTGTCAGCCCAACTACTAACCTCTCAGATGGAAGTTTTTTCCCCCCGTGTCTGAGCCGTCGATCAACCCCAAATCAAACACAGACTTGGGCCCTAGATCCTCGTTAAGGATCCCCGTTTTATCATAGGATTCAGAGCTAAGGCTTTCCCCAGTCTCCCCCCAATCCGTAGTGGCCCTTGTGAGATCCAGATAATAGTGTATTGATGCTCATAGTTCTCCGGGACTTCTGCTCAATTATGAAGACAGTTTTATGAAAACCGTTCGACTCACAGAAAGGTTTGTTGTTTTTTTCTGTTGTAAGTAGGTCGTTGTTTTGTAGTTGTTGTTTGTGGGGTTTTCCCAAGGAACAGCTTGTTTGTTGACTGCTCGACTTCGAGAATGCCAACTTTTTTATATTATTTGTTTTAACGTTGACTATCACGGAAATACCACCACAACCACCACCACCACCATCAACAACGACAACAACAACAAAGAAAAAAAAACAAAAAAAGACCCACACAAGACCCCCCCCCCCAACTTAATACTGTTTGGTTCGAAACTATAGGAACCTAAGGGTTCGGAAACTGAATAATCTTTTTTGTCCTAAAGATCTGATAACACCCTATTCCAAAGCCCATCCTCTTCCCCTAACCCTGTCCATAATCCTTAGCCTAAGCCTAACCCAAACCCCATCCTCTTCCACTAAAACTAATCCTAATCCTCAGCTCCAAACCTCTTGTTCCAACCCAAACAAAACAAAAAGTTTGGCCTCAAAATTTTTGTTTGCACTGTAGTGCAAAGTGGACACATCTGAATTAACATTCATAGATATCCTGCTGGCTCCTGAGAGGTGATCCCATTTTGAGAAGGAGGTTCGGAATTGTACTGTTAGCCTCAAGGTTGTGACGCAATCTTTGTGGTTGTGTTCGAAATGGACAAAACAAAGGTGGCAGGTCAATGGAGGGTGGGGGGAGTGAGGAGGGTGAGGAGGGAAGGTGACAGGTCAATGGAGGGTGAAGGGGTGAGGAGAAAAGGTGGCAGATCAATGGAGAGTGAGGGGGGGGTGAGGAGGGTGAGGAGGGAAGGTGACAGGTCAATGGAGGGTGAGGGGGTGAGGAGAAAAGGTGGCAGGTCAATGGAGGGTGGGGGGAGTGAGGAGGGTGAGGAGGGAAGATGACAGGTCAATGGAGGGTGAGGGGGTGAGGAGAAAAGGTAGCAGGTCAATGGAGGGTGGGGGGAGTGAGGAGAAAAGGTAGCAGGTCAATGGAGGGTGGGGGGAGTGAGGAGAAAAGGTAGCAGGTCAATGGAGGGTGGGGGGAGTGAGGAGGGAAGGTGACAGGTCAATGGAGGGTGAGGAGGGAAGGTGACAGGTCAATGGAGGGTGAGGAGGGAAGGTGACAGGTCAATGGAGGGTGAGGAGGGAAGGTG